GTTAATAAGCTTATAACAAAGCTCAAAGGTAAGAGTCCCGGAGGTAGACAGAAGGGAAAGAGTATACCTGGCTGGCAGGTCTTGGAAGGCTGAGAGAAGGTGACACATACATGAGATGCATAATCATTGACAAATGGGATCCAACAGGCATACATGGTCAGGTGGTGAGTGCTGTCTCAGTGAAGGGGCATGGGCAAAGGCTCAGAGTTGGAAAAGCATTAGGCACGGTTGGGCGCCAAGGTGGAATATAGGTTAAGGCCGTATCTAAGAGAGCTTTGAATGCCAGACTGTGTTAGTCCAAGTCCTCTAAGAATCAGACACTAAGATGGGATTAAAAGCATGAGAAGAAATATGGAGGGAGTCAGGAAAGTCTAGGAAAGCCTCAGACCATGATGTAAGACTGACCCAGAGCAAAGACACAACAGAGTGGAAGGTCTAGCTTGTCCTTCAGACTAAGGAAGTTCTGACAAGGTTGTCAAAGAGTACTCGAGCCAGAGTTGACCATAGAGGAGTCCTGTGCCTCCCAGGAATGGCCTTCCTTAGCATTCTTGCAATGCTTAGTTACTGGCTAGGAGCAGCTGGTGGGAAGGGAGGCCTCTGTGCAAACATGGATTTCAGATCACAGCAGCTGGGGCCCCTGGTCAATTATACTCCCTGTAGTTGGAGGTTAACAAGGCATGTGATCATGGCCATCATATGAGTTTTTTTTGTGTGTGTGTGCGTGGTTTTTTTTTGTTTTGTTTTGTTTTAGCAACTGTATATATAATCATGGACCAGTACTTTAGGAAGCATAGAAATACCTCTCTTGCCTAATCTATCATCTGTCAGTCCTAGAAATAATAGCACATACTTAAGAAGTGCTTACTGTGTGCTAGGAAAAAAAACTCCATGAGGTAGGCACTAATATTCTCATTTAAAATATGAGGGAGCTGAGGCAGAGAGAGAGATGAAATAAAAGACAAGCAGTTAAGTAAGTGGTTGAGCTGGGATTGGAATCCAGGCTCTCTGAATCCAGGGTCTGTGCTCTTAACCACTATATTAACCATTATGTTAACTACTTTTAATAAAATTATGGGGTAATAGAGGGGATGGAAGAGAAGAATTAATCTGGAAAAAGAATTTAGGAACTGAAATGTGCCTTTGGTTTAAATTGTGAATTTGGGTTTTATTTTTTATTACTCATGACCAGTTGGCCTAGGATTAGCCTACCAGTGGTCGGCAAACTCATTAGTCAACAGAGCCAAATATCAACAGTACTTCTTCAAAATAGACTCGCCCAGGCCGAAAACCGACTTCTGTGCATGGCCCACGAAGTTTCAAGCGCACTGTACGTGTGCCCGCACGTGGTATTTTGTGGAAGAGCCACACTTAAGGGGCCAAAGAGCCGCATGTGGCTCTCAAATCGCAGTTTGCCGACCATGGGCCTAGGCAGTTGCTTTTTTGTCTTCTTTCTGATTACCTTTAAGGACTTTTATCATGAAGTATCTATCCCAATGGATAGGGGAATGAAAAGAGATAAATCAGAAGTCAGTCATCATTGCTACCATCCCCATAGTCTTTGGGCAAAAGTTATGATGGAGATGATGTTCACTTTTTACTAGAGTGGGAATTATCTGTGGATTTAAATTTTTAATGGTGAATATTTACCCCTATGTTTTCTTCTAATAGTTTTATTTTTTTAGCTCTTATTTTTAGATTGTTGATTCATTTTGGGATAATTTTTGTATATGGAGTGAAGTAGGGGTATTATAGCTCCATTCTTTTGCATTTGGTTTACTCAGTTTTCCCAACACCATTTGTTACAGAGAAAATTGAATGGTCTTGGCATCCTTGTCAAAAATCAATAGGCCATATATGTTTGTGTTTATTTCTAGACTCTCAGTTCTATTTCACTGGTCTATATGTCTATCTTTATGTCAGTATGACACTGTTTTGATTACTACAGCTTTTTGATAAGTTTTGAAATCAGAAAATGTGAGTACTCCAACTTTGTTTTTCTTTTTAAAATAATGTTTGACTATTTCGGGTCCCTTGAGGTTGTATATGAATTTGAGGATTGGCATAAATTTGGCAATGGATTCTTAGATTTGACGTAAAAGGCATAAGTAACAAAAGAAAAATAGATAAATTGAACTTCATAAAAATTAAAAGCATTTGTGCACCGAAGGCATTATCAAGAATGTGAAAGGGCAACATACAGAATGGGAGAAAGTATTTTCAAATCACATATATGAAAGGGTTTAATATCCAGAATATATAAAGAATTCTTACAACTCAACAAGAAAAAGACAAATAACCCAATATTTAAAATGGGCAAAGAATAGGACCAGACATTTCTCCAAAGAAGATATACAAATGACCAATAAACACATGAAAAGATGTTCAAAGTTATTGGTCATTAAGAAAATGCAAATCGCCTAGCCAGTGTGGGTCAGTGGTTGATCATCGACCCATGAATCAGGAGGTCACGATTTGATTCCCTATCCAGATTGTGGGCTCGGTCCCCAGTGTGGGTCATGCAGAAGGCAGCCGATCAATGATTCTCTCTCATCATTGATGTTTCTCTCTCTCTCTCCCTCTCCCTTCCTCTTTGAAATCAATAAAAACATATTTTTTTAAAAAAATGCAAATCAAAACTATAGTGGGATACCACTTCACACTCACTAGCATTGCTTTAATAAAAACAATAAAATGGAAAGTGTTGGCAAGGATAGGGAGAAATAAGAACCTTTATACATGGCTGGTGGGAATGTACAATGATGCAGCTACTATGAAAATCATTTTGACAGTTCCTCAAAAAGTTAAACATAAACGTACTATATGACGCAGCATTTCCATGCCTACAGATTTACCCAAGAGAAATGAAAACATAGGTCCACACAGAAACTTGTATATGAATGTTTATAGTAGCATTATTCATAGAAGCCAAAAGGTGGAAACAACCCAAATGCCCATCAATGGATGAATGGATAAACAAATTGTGATATATAAACCCAATGGGGTATTGTTCGACAATAAACAAAAACAAAGTACGGGTACAGGCTGCAATTTAGATGAACCTCAAAAACATTGTTAAGTGAAAGAAGTTAGAGACAGAAAGTCACATTTTATATCATCCTTTTTAATGGATAAATTCAGAATAGGCAGGTCCACAGAGGCAGAAGGCAAGCTGTGGGGAGAGGGAATGTAGAGTATGATTACTAAATGTGTATGGGGTGTTTTTCTGGGATGATGAAATGCTTTAAACTAGGGAGAGGTGGCTGTTTAACCACATTGGGAGTACATTAAATGTCACTAAGTCGTATACTTTATAATGATTAACTGCAAGTTTATGAATTTCACTTTACTTTTAAAAAAGGTTAAGAAAATCAAGCCAGGCCCTGGCTGAGTAGCTCAGTTGGTTCGAGCATCGTCCTGATATGGCTATGCCAAGGTTGTGGGTTCAGTCCCCGGTTAGGACACATACAAGAATCAACCAATGAAGGCATAAATAATAAGCGAAACGACATCAATGTCTCTCTCTCTTCTTTCTCTCTCAAATCAATAAATTAAAAAAAAGAAAACGCAACCAGGAAAAAAATGATCAATGGTTTCCTGTCTCCCCATAATCTGAATGAATTGAATTAAGAACCCTAAATCATAACATGCGTTACAATTGCAAACAAACATAAGACTAGTCTACCATGTATCATAAAATTAATAAGGCTAGAATGGACCTTGTATAATATCTACGGTGTCTTCTAGAATTAATAAGGCTAGAAATAAGGTTACGGTAAGAATACAAATCTTTATTGTGATATAATCTTCCCTAAAACAGATGCAAATGAATAAACACGAAGGTTTATATGGTTATGTAAGAAATCATCTGTCATTTTTAAATGGGTATGTGAGTTATAAATGTGTGTGTGCATGTGTGCATATGAATGGTGTTGGGGGTAACAGAGTCAAAGAAAGTACAAAATGAGGAGAATTAGTAAACTAACCAGGATTCTCATAATCCCTTTGGCATGATCTCAAAATACCAATGCAATAATGAAGCACATTGGAAGCCAGTGCTTGCTGTGGGCTTTCAGAACGTTTTCTAAGCAGTAGCCCAGGAAACATCTCTAAGGGCTCTGAGTACCAAGTATGACATCTGAAGTGTGTGTAATCAGTAGATTCCTGGAGAGAAACTGGCATCTGTAAAGGAGGGGCTAAGCATGCCTTTGCTGGATAAAAGTTTCTCTTTCTTTAGGAGCAATTTCACATGGAACTATTTGGATATTTTTGACAAATTTGTGCAAATTGGATTACTTCAGCCCATTAGCTACAAAGGGGGATGTGATGGCAGAATTTTACTTTTATTATTTGTAGTTAATAATAATAGCTAGCATTTATTGATGATTATTCCATGCTCAGCACTATTCTAAGTATTATACCTATAACAATCTCATTATTCCTCTTAATAATCCTTAAGGAAACAGAAACACATGGACAAAATAGTTTGTCCAACACCCACAGTCAGGAATAACCAGAGCTGGACTCATACCCAAGCAGTCCAGGTTCAAAGTCCACATTCCAACCACCCTGGTAGGGGATAGTGGGGCCTCACATCCACCCCATGCTGTGCAGGCCAAGCCACGGCCCAGGCCTACCTTTTTCTAATTTGCATATATGCTAGTGGTGGCCCTACATCAATGCAATGGGAACTGTTTTTTTGTTTGTTTGTTTTTTCATTAATCTCCAGTGGGCACAAACTGTGTTTAGAAATTAAATTCTTGCATTAAGGAGAAAAATTGCCAGCACTTACTTCTATATTTGATGATTCTTCCTTATCTGTAACATGTTTTTCAAAGGAGAGCTTATCCTTATTTTTGTGCCCATAACCTTACTAATCATTTATTATTATTAACACCTCCAAAGTCAATTGTCTCTTATTATTAAATCACATCTACTGTTGAGGAGAAAAATAAAGCTATGAATAAAATCTGACTTCAGTAACTTTTCACATGTCCTCCTAGGAACCAAGAAATTGATACCTGCTTGTTCGGAAACTCTGTAGTCCCTGTCTAAAAAGCTTCACCTCTTGCTTGCTAAGGTCAGTCTGTTCCTGTTATTCTGTCTGTGTTGGCGCCCTCTGGTGGTTCAATTATGTGAACTTTAATTTTAAATGCTTTTAACAAAAGTGTTTTGAAGCCTTGATTTTGCCTATTCAAAGTGAGAGACAGATTTCCCCTGGTTATATGCCATGATACCAAGGAAGGGACTTACTGTCCAGGTGGCAGTGGTGATTTTGTAAACAGACATCAGCTTGAATGCTATTGATGGGCAAAGGGCTTTTCAAAATTTTGGTTTGAGGTATAACATTATATAGTAAAGTGTGCAAATTATAAGATTATAGATATACTAAAGGCCCGGTGCACGGATTCATGCACATTGAAAGGAAATTAATTAGAAGGTGGCCAGCGGGGCAGGATTGGGTGAGATGGGCCGGACACGCCCTGAGCCAACCTCCTACGGTCCCTCCCTGGCCAGCTGCACCTGGGCTCGAAGGGCATCTGCAGAGTGAGCGGGGTCCCTCCGGCAGGTGGGGTCTCTCAGCCTGGCCTGTAGGGATTGGGCTCCCTCCTCTCTGGTTCCAGGGTGTGTCACCCGAGAAACGCTGCTGCCAAGTCACCGCAGCTCGGCAGCTCCTGCATTGAGCGTCTGCCCCCTGGTAGTCAGTGCACGTCATACCTAGCGGCCGGTTGGACAGTTGGATGGTCGCTTAGCCTTTTATATATATATATATATACACACACACATACATATATAGATATAGATATATGATGTATATCCAACACCCAGATAAAAAACATTTCCACACATAGGTAAGGCTTTTTATTTTTTTATTTTTTATTATTATTTTTTAATATATTTTTATTGATTTCAGAGAGGAAGGGAGAGGGAAGGATAGATAGAAACATCAATGATGAGAGTGAATCATTGATCGGCTGCCTCCTGCACGCCCCCTACTGGGGATCGAGCCTGAAACCCGGGAACGTACCCTTCACCAGAATCAAACCCGGGACCCTTCCATCCACAGGCCAACACTCTATCCACTGAGCCAAACCGGGTAGGGCTAGGTAAGGCTTTTTAAATATTGGTTTGCTTATTAGCATTCAGATCTATTTTGCAGTAGAGAAAACCACCTGTAGTCACAGAATCACCACCATTGTCCACCCCAAAGTACCTGTGGGGAGTGGTTCATTAAGTGGCAACTGAGAGGAAAATATGTTGTGTACAGAGGCTGACTCTAAGGTGGCACAAAGATAAGAACTGTCCTCCACTCCAAAGTGAAAAGGACTCAACTTTGTGCCTTTGCTTGGCTGCAATCTCTTTGCTCTCTCTTGAACAGTTTTCCAATTCTATTCCTTCTCTTCTGTTCAAAACACTTTGAGTGCTGTGTGTCCAGGATGTGAGTACAGAGGGGAGGAAGTGGTGTTCCCTGCCCTCCAAGAATTCAGGGGCCAGTTGAGTTTAAAGCAGAAAGAGGAGGCGGGTGATTCCAAACCAGTGTGTTAAGTGTGACAGTAATAACAGCTGACATTTATAGAGTATGTTGTCCTAGTATTTCTGTCAGGACATTCCCTTCATCTTCTCATTTAACCCTCGTCGCTATTACCTTACTGTACTGGTGAGAAAGTGAAGGCACAGAGGGACTGGTGATTTGCCCTGAGGACAAAATAGCTGGTTAGCGTGGTGGCCAGGATCTGGCCGCACCACCCACATATGTATCAGTTTCTCAAGCATGGCATTGGAGGCACATGCAGGGCATGGAGGAGAGCAGGGAGATCTTTGACTATCTTGTCTGTTGAGCGGCCCAACAAGGAGCCATTATCAGCACTCCAGAAAAATATGCCAGAAGGCCTCTTTTTTTCTAATGCAGCTCTAGTTCAGCCCCCGACTTGCTATCTTACAGACTCGAGCAAAAACTGGCCACACCATTGCAATATAGCAAAAATTACTTCAGAATTAACACTTGACTATTCATTGCTATGGCTCAAATTTCTACAAATCACAGGTAATCAACCAAATCAGGTGTCAAATGATGCTTTAAAAATTTCTATTTAAACTGATGATGTGAGTGCTGCTCACCTATCAGTGATTTCTTTTTTTCAGTGTTGAAAGCACAGTGGAAGGCATCACCGTAACCTTAGGGAGCTCCAAATAGTTCAAAACTGATCAGTGTACTGGAGCGAGATTTTGAAATCCCACCTGAGGTGGTGTTTGCACCTTCCTCTCGTCAGATTCTCTAAAGCAGGCAAAGACTGGGGACCAGGACCGCAGAGCCTTCTCTCAAAATCGCCAGTAGAATCTCTTCCCCTCAAACATAGACGAATTGTGTCGTCGTCACTATGATGTCCTCACACTTAGGCTCCTCAGAGGACAAGGACCAAGTCTGACTTCAGTTTTATTTACTGCAGGCCAGGTGCTGATGGGAATGGGAAAATTATAACAGGGTACAGTAGTAGTTAGGATGGTGTTAATGTGGGACGTGATTTCCGACCCCTTCAAGCCAACTTGTATGATGCCAAGGTCTACTGTAAAAATGAGGTTTGTGCAGTTGTTTGAAGAGAAAATAAGGCAGGAGCATTGAGCAGTCCCAACAGCAGTCAGACCTGCCCACCTCAAAAGACCCAACCACATTGTGAGCAGTGATTTGTTTTCATCGGTTTAATGTTTAAGCTTTGTTGGGGTTGCAGTTTTACTTCTGAGTTTTAATTTTGTTATGGTTTTATAGCTGTAAAGAATTATCAGCATAAAAACATATTTATTTTTATAGCTCATCTTAAAACAAAATGGTTAAAGACATCAACATAATGGGTTGATAACCCAGAAAAGGTTTTCCTCCTTGAGTTAAAAGGGGTCAGTTTATTTATTACTCACTAGTTTGAGAAGCGCTGTGCTATGTATCCCTTGGGCCTACAGAGGGAGACAAACACAGGCCTGGCTTTTCAGAAGCTTAAATCAATAGCATTCATCCATTCCAGTGGACAAAACCGAAGAAGTTATACACCAACATTTTTGAAGTGATGACACTACATTTATTGCTGAGTTTTTTCTCTACTCTTGTTACTCCCTAAAAGTTGCTACTTAGCAAATAGTTATATTCTGCATTTCCTATTGGAATCTCCCTGACATCCTCGTAAATTTTTTTTAATGTGTATACAGTAAAGTTCATTCTTTGTAGTGTATAGTTATATGGAGTTTGACAAATGCATAGAGTCATATATCCACTGCCCCAGTAATTTATCTTGAGTAAGTTTTAGTGGTTTGGGCATTTTGGGGAAATGGTTCATTCTATCTAAGTTGGTGAATTTATGAACATAGAGGTGTTTGTAGTATTTCCTTATTGTGCTTTAATGCGGATGCGATCAGTCATGAGGTACTATCTTTCATTCCAGATATTGGTAAATTGTGTCTTTCTCTTCTTCTTGGTCAGCCTGTTATGACTTAGTAAAAAAAAAATCATCTTTTGGGTTAATTAATTTAATGTACTTTTTTGTTTTTCATTTCATTGATTTCAGTTCTATATTATTTCCCTTCATCTGCTCACTTTATACTTAATTCACTGCTCTTTAATTTCTTAAGGTGAAGGAATAGATCACTGAATTTAGGTCTTTCTATAGATCTTTTCTCATATAAGCATCTAATGCTATAAATTTCCATCCAAAGATGCTTTGGCTGCATTCTACAAATTTTTGATATGTTGTATTTTTATTTTCATTTAGTTCCAAATATTTTTGCATTTCCCTGACGGCTTACTCTTTGACCCATGGATTATTTAGATATGTATTACTTAATTCCCAAATATTTGGGATTTACCAGATAGATATCTTTCTGTTATTAATTTCTGGTATAATTCCATGTGATTTGAGAATATACTCTGTATATTTTCTATTCTTTTAAGTTGTGAAGGGTTTTATGTCTGAGAATACTCCCTATGCACCCGAGAAGAATGTGTGTTTTGCTGCGGTTGGATTCAGTGCTCTATGTATGTCACATGGACAAGTTGGTTGATGGTGTTGCTCTGGTCATCTATATCCTTACTGATTTTTCTGCCTACTCATTCTATCATTTTCTGAGAGAAGAGTGTTGAAGTCTTCATCTAAAGTTGTAGGTTTGTCTATTTCTCCTGCAACATCTACCAGTATTTGTCTTGTGTATTTTGAAGTTATCGTTGGGAGCATACACATTTAAGATGGTTATATTTTCTTGGAGAATTGACTGCTTTTTCATAATATAATATCCTCTTTATATCAGATAATATTTGCTATTATGAAGTCTACTTTGTCCAAAATTAATGTAAATTCTTTGTTAGTGTTTACACGATATATCTTCCTTCATCCTTTTATTTTTAACCTAAGTAGGCCTTTATATTTAAAATGGGTTTCTCACAAAAAAAATGGGTTTCTCATAGATTGCATATTCTTGGATGTTGGTTGGTTGTTTGTTTTTTTTGTTGTTGTTGTTGTTCTGATCACATCTGTCTTTTAACCGGTGTGTTTAGACCATTCATATTAAAGATGAATGTGATGGGATTAAAATCTATCATCTTACTGTTTTTTATTTGTTTCATTTGTTATTTATTTATTTTTACCTCTTTTTCTGCCTTGTCTAGGTTTAATTCAATATTTAAAAATTTTTTTAATGATTGCCCTAGGGTTTACCATATACATTAAAAAAATAAAATCTGAGCCTATTTTCAAATATATTATACTATTATACATGTACTATTATACATGTAATATATACTATTATATATGCTGTAAACACACAATCCATTGTTAATATTGTTGCTTTAAATAGTCGGTTATTTTTAGAGCAATTAAAACAAGACAAAAATAATTTTATAAGACCTTCATTTATTTTATTTCTGACACTCTTCATTTCTTGGTGCAGATCCAGTTTTCTGGCATATATCATATTCTACCTTTAAGAATTTCCTTTAATATTTCTTATAAGGTAGGTTATCTGTTTGTAGGTAGGTCCCTACATTTTTGTTTGTTTGAGAAAGTCTTATTGTTTTTATACATTAGAAGGACATTTTTCTGG